GCTATTTCCCATTCTGAGTCTGAAATTTAAGCTAAATGAGCAAAGCTGCAACTGAGTCCATGAAAGTGCTTCTAGATTTCAGAAAGGGCTCACAACATTATCCTTTATGTAAGGATTCTGGATAAGATGATAACACCTTGCACACATAGAAAGGTACAATGTGCCTAGAAAAGGCTGTTTCTTGTTACCAGTTTCTGCTAAGATCAGAAGATGCTGGGAGCCATATCTTGACCCTCTGCCAGTACATGGACTGTGGAGCCCATATGATACTTGACAACATACCAGTTCCCTCTGTCGTGTTTAGTGCTAATTCTTGAGGCTTTTGGAGAGTTTCATATTATCTTCTCAACAGTTTAAATTGTTGGTATAGAATATTTCTTGGTTTATGTTTGACATATAAAGCATTCGCTGGATGTTTTCAGTTTTGAAGCCTGACTCTGGTAGACAGTGAGAGAGACGTAGGGGTCTGTTAGGACTCTTTAGGTGGCTAGGTGAGCCTGCAGTGCCCACGTTAGGGGGGCTGTGAAAGGGCTGCTGAGGGAAGTTTCAGGCCAGAAACACCTTTCAGTGCTGGCACCTTTTGTCTGGGAGCAGGGGCTGGACATTTTCACTTTTGAGGCTGGACTCTGGTAGACAGAGAGACTTAGGGGTCTAGTCTCATTTCAGATGTCTGAGGATGTCCATGATATCTGAAGAGGGCTGGCAAATACAATACAGGACTTAGGGCATACCCAGAAGATGACAGTGGATGCATTTGTTCAGGCAGTGGAGTTGCCTGGATGTTGGTATGTATTTTGGAGACTGCGTACATACCCAAAAAGGTACCATAGTTTGAATAAAAGATACATATTCCCTAATGATCCTGGAGGGGTAGAGAGGTCCATGTGTTACCACATCCAGGAAGCTTAAGGCTGCAGAGCTTTGCAGAACAGGTCTTCAGTGACAGCTAAGGCAAGTCCTGTGCTGTTTCTCTGCATTTTATATTTCAAACAGCTTTTTTACATTTAGCTGGGTATTTGGCAGTGAAGCTGCAAGACAGTTTGATAAGGTTCCCCTCTCTGGATCTGTATCCTACAGGATGCTTTTTCGCTGAGCAAGGTAGAACTCCTGATTAGGTGAACCAGTCGCTGCATTATCCTTTGGCAGAAAGAAGCTGTACTGTGACTCTGACCTGAGCGTTGCGAGAATAATGGTAACTTATGGTCCCGTGTCAGGCTGTCTTCTCCACCAAAAGGTGGTTGAACAGCCAGAACTGCAGCTCGCTGCCTCCTCTGGAAGGCTGGCTGCTGATCTGATTCCTGTGGATAGAACCTTGGGCTTCTGCTCTGGCGATCTGCTGTGACCTTCTTCCTCGCAGGTGTTTGACCCAGGGGACCATCGCTCAGCAGGGATGCAGATTTGAGACAAGTAAATTCTTTAGACAGATGGAGTTTTGAAGGCTCTAAGACCAGTGCTATTTCCTGAAATGACTGCAGTACAGTTTTGCTCTAAGGAAATTAATCTTCACTCTTGATGCCAAAACTGGTGCAATTGGGGCAGAATTGGCTTCACTGTTAACTTTCCATCTCCTGTGGGGAATGTCCTGTCAGGCTGTGCTCTGTTCTGCTTGATTGGGCAGTCAGCTAGTCTTTGATTAGAAATCTTTCTTACTTGGTAATGAAATTCTCATTTCAGAAGAAAACAAAGTTTTCAAGTCTAAACCAGCCAACTATTTTGTTAGTACTTCCAATTGGCTTTGTCCAAAGTGAGATTCAAAACTTGAAGAATTAAAGCCTCAGCCCTTCCACGCAGCACCAAATATTGGTCCAAGGAGGGAGGATAAAGAATGCCAGCAAATGATGTCACTTGTGTGCCTTCGTCTGTTTTCTTTAATAATTGTCAGCTTTAGTTCATCCAGAATAATTTTACACTTGGCTTCCCTGATTTTTAATTAGTATTTATCATGTAAAACTATAGCCAGGGAGCTCTTGGACACTTTGAAAAGGAAGCAGGTAAACAACCAGCTTGTTCATGAATACCTCTCTGGTTTTGTATATGTTTGTTTTCTCAAGTTGTAATTACCAGGCGTAGTCCTAAATTGTTCTGCTTCTTACCTCCTCTTGCCTTGATAGTTTTTTCTATATTTTTCATCTCTCCCGAGAACTCTATTTTTAATGGTTAATTTAAAGGAAACCTCTTGTGTATTATAATGCATATTCTGATTAGTACACCTAATTGCAAAGAGTACATTACTTTAAAAGAAAATGAACGAGGCCATATTTTTCAGCTCGGTTTCATTTGCACACCTTTTTTGAGCACAAGGAATTGTGAGTACAGCCAGTGGCAATGTAATACCTGGTATTTGAACAAATTTTAAAAACTGGTTTTGCCTTCAAATATACAGCTTATTTGTATCCACGGATTTAAGCATGAATAGAAGAGTCTTTGTGTAAAGCCAGGTTTTAAAAATCTCAGTTGTCATGTTTCTGCATATTTTATATTGGGTAAGAAACATTAGTGAGGATGAGTTGGGCTGGAGGAAAAATGTGCTTTATTTGCTCATGTGGTGAGTCGGAGATAGTCAAAGTGGTTTTGTTAAATTCATTTTCTTTAATTTGCTAATGGCTTAACAATGTTTAAATTGACCAACTGTGGTATTTTAAAGTAAATGTTTTTCCTAATGTCTTCATAAGCTTTGTGGGGTATTTATTTTTCTAATGTGATCTGCCTTCCTTTTATTCCTCTTCTATGTGGCCAGTTGCAGAGTCTTTCCTGAAAAGAGATATTAAAAATAAGTTTTCTCTTCGAGAGTTTTCATAGGATAACAGGAAATAGCCCAGTGACAGATACCCAGGGAAGCTGTTACAAACATCCATTAAAAATTTGCCAACAGCTTTGATACCCTCCACATATATTTATTTTTCAAATATCTTTCCATTATATATTAAGATAATGGAAGCTGTAATGGTCCACTTGGATTCTCCTCTTGGTCTGTTGGGGTGTGTGGAGGTTAATTGCCCTGACCACCTCCTTTTCCGGTTTAGCCCCGGTTCAGCGGTCGGAAAATACAAATTTCTACTTTTGCACTACTCTTCATTGGCCTAACACGTTTATCCAAGCAGGTGTGACTGTAGGACTGAACCTCATCCTAGAAAATGATGTGGATTTCTGCGTGAAGATTGTGGTCTATATGTGAAGCTTCCATGGGTTGTAGAGGGAAGGTAGAAGACGACAAGACATTAAACTTCCGTAACTATGAATGAAAGGGTAGATCTTCAGAAGTTTATCTAAACCCCATCAGTTACCCTGACCCAACACACACCACGGTGACTCGTGCATGTTCTGTGCGTGTTTTACCAGGCTACTGAAAGGAAATTGGTAAGGGGAGGTTTTTATCATTAAAAACTAAGGTCCTTGCTGTTTCTTTTATCTCTTTTAAAAGTGGGAAGGAAAATAATTTCCTTCCTCCTGCTGAGTGATAAACTATTTTGTTTGAATTATGTTTGCCCTGTAGTAGAGATCTCGCAGTTGCCATCAGAAGAACTGAGTACAGTCAGCAGGGCAGTGTCTTCACCAGGCTGATCCTGGCTACCAGTTCAGTTCAGGCAAAGTCCTCACAAATGTTTATTTGGCGTTTTGTTGAGCCTGTTAAATCCATAACGTTCTCAGAGTAGCTACCGAGCTACATTATTCTTGTCGGGCCTTCCTCCAGAAGGGTTTACCTGTGGAGATACGTGTTGTGCAGACTCTTTGTATCTTATTTTCATCCAAATTAACTTTTTGCTGCTTGGAGCTTGTATTTCTGCGTGGACCGGTGAATGTTCACAAGAACTTTAAGCAGTGTAAGCTGTCACTGCCGCTAACAGATGTAGCTCCTGTCACTATCCCCAACATAATATTTCTTCTACTTCTTTTCTTCTGCCAGAAAAAAGCGCCTTTGTGCAGGCTCATTCAGGGAACTGATCCAGCAGAGGACTAAGCTCAGCACAAAAAAGGTGATTTTTTGGCTGGATGAGCTCCTTGATTGAGTTCACCATGCAACTCCCTGAACTTCGGAGCTAGACTACCTCTGCTAGTACTTGCCTATGCAGCCTGGAGTGTCTGGCATGGTAACTTAAAGTCATTGTATCTGCTGCCAGAATTCATCTTGTAGCAGGCTGGGTACAGCCTGTTGCAATGTGTGTGAAGCATTTTTAGATTCTTAGTCAGATGTTCTCCAGAGAGATGCTATTTCCATCTTTATCCACCTGTTACCAAATGGTGTGCCAACACAAGATGATTTTAAAGACTTTTAGCTGCAAAAACCTCTCTCCTCTCCTCCCAGTAGCAAACAAGTAATCCAATGTTTTCATATAATGACCAGCTCAGGGTTGTAAGACAGCATACAGACAAGTGCATGCTGAATACCCCTAAGCCCATCTGTCCCCAAAACTGCCAAGGATGGATGAGGTTTTTTTCATTCTTTGGGATCTAAACAGGGATTGCTGTTTTGATGAGGATTCTGAACCACTTGGTTATTGGAATTGGAGAAACCCATACATCTGCATCATCTGATTTTCATGTGGGCGTAGGAGGCACCTGCCGACTGACCCAGCTGCCTGGCTGAGTTATGAGCTCCACAATTTTTGTGACACTGCTGATCTACCTGCACTATTGTTTTCATGGGTCTTGCTGTAAAGATGATGAAATCTTCCGTACTACATTGCATACCCTGCTCAACATGTAATGACCAAAGCGATTTCCAAAAATCTGCATTTAAGAATACTTGCAGTTCAGACAGTAGCACTTATCTTGTTTTGAAAAGATACCTTAATTACTCAGTGTTAATCCCAGCTTCACTTAACTGACTTTTTCATCATCTCCTGTTTTTTAAATCATCTGAGCCATGGTGAATGTATATTTAGTCCTATGCCATTTATTGTGCAGATGATCATATCGTTGTTGCTTGATCACAATCAGTTCTGCATGTAGTAGTTCCTTTGTGTAGGATTTAAATATATTGGTGTATTTTTATTTTGTAGGAAGCACGAACAGAATCTATTGCCAGACCTTTGGAGATAAATGAGGCTGAGAAGATGATGAAAATCGCCATTGACTCTGTTCTAGTAAGCAAAATTATATGTATTTAATTGCAAAATTATCATTCCTCTCCTGCAAGAGGAACGTAACTCTTTTTATCACCAGCCTGGGGTTGAGTGTGCCAAAGCACACAGCACCTTCAGCTGGCTGGGCCAAGCAGTGCTGCACCTGGTTAGTTAATAGCTAATGTTGAACCCAGTTAATGGCTAATGCAGACTTTGGTCTTTCGGTGACATCACATGTGTGAACAGAAGCTCATCAAGGCAGCGATGAGTCTGTGATGACTCCTTCTGTCATGGTAATGAATATGGTTGCTGATGATCTTTGTGCTTTATTGGGGAAATCTGTTGTGTTCAAAGTGAATAAGCGTGTTAATTGAAATGGATCGCTTTCCTGGCAGTGAAGGAGGTGTCTGCACAGTGGTGATTGTGAGCTCTCAGTCAGAAATCACAGCCTGCAGCAGAAAGGATAAACGATTTTAGCAGCACTACCTAGGAGAACATGTTAAGACCTGCTCTGCTTTCAGACTGTTGCCTGTAACTGTGTTGGTTCAATACCCAGAACATTCCTCCAGTTGATGCATCAGAGAACTGCACTTGACCTCCCTTGGCCTCTCTCTTTGGAGAAAACAACAGAAAAACCCTCCGCATTTTAGTCATGTTCCCCGCCTGTGTTAGGAGCTCAGTAGTCACCCCAGAAGCTCTACAGGAGGGATAAAAATTGTTTAAATCAGCACAGAAATCTAAATCCCACCCACATTGTCTAAGCCATGTAAAGTTTGCAGTGTCGGGGCTGCGAGGTAACTCAAAATGTGCTGGTACCTCTGGAGTTTTGAAGTTGGGCTCTGGAAGCAGATGGCTGAGCTGGCCAAGCAGTGAGAAGAACTGGCCCTGTGCTCATTAGTGCCATGGCAGTGCATCGTTACGGTTCTCGTTCCAGAGGCCCTTTTGTCTGTCCCAGTATTGCCAACACTGTTCCTGCTCCAGTGCCTGGGCTCCTGTATTTCTGAACCTTTAGCTGCACTCACAGCCACTGTGCAAGAATGGTAGTTAATTAAGTCCTAGTGATTACTATAAGTTATTTAACTGCAAACTGTATCCAGTCCAATTATATAATTACAAGAAATGGAGTTCCAGATTTAAACAGCCAATGCATAATCAATAGATACTGCAGGCGATCTTTCCTTATGTTTCATGCTCCTCCTCACAGTCTGTATGAATTCTGAATGTTGTTAATACACATTGCTGTTCTAGGCAGTAGTGCTAATAAACTAGCAGCAGCATAGTAGAGCAATTGGCTCCTTGGGAAATATCTGTAACGTACCTCAGCTGTTTTAGTTTTGGGTGAGTTAATGAAATGACCTATTATAGCTGAGCAGGCACCTAACAGTTACTGCTGGAATTTCAGCAAGTGTGAAGTCCTCTCTCTTTCACTCAAAAGATGCTCATGGTTTCCAGAGCCTGAGCACACTGAACATACTCGGCTCATTTTAATAAAATGGAATATTTCCACTTCCCCCTCCTGATTCCTGTAGCACGTGTTGCAATGTTCAGGATGCTTCCCAGATTTTGAAAAGGTGGATAAAACAAGACTTAGAAAAGGATGAAGGTATTTGGATGGAGTAAGTTCTTTTTAAAAGTGACCCTTATCTTGAAGATAATTTTCGTTGCCTGGCCAGTTTATGTTCTAGCTCATTGTTACAAGATTGTTTGATAACCTGAGATGTGAGATTATACAGAAGAATGGTCAGCATCTGAAAGATAATTCTAATTATTCCAGTGCATGCCATGGTTCACCATCCTTGTCTTTTAGGAACAAGTCCAAAAGACTAAAGGCATGTTGAATAATGTGGCTTTGGATGAAGCCAATTTGGAAGCCAAGATCGAAAAACGAAAATTGGAACTGGAAAGAAGCCAGAAGAGGCTACAGACTCTACAAAGTGTTCGGTAAAGATTATGAACTGATTATCTACTGCATAAATGAGTCTTAGCATAAATGATGGAACTGTGCATTGTTAATGCTTAGAGTACCAAGGAGTGAAGTCTGTAATGAGACTGAGATGGCCTACAGAAGAGAGAGATTCTCTTCTCCAGAAGTGCCCCGTCTGGATTGTAATTGTTCATTTTTCTATTGCCACGTCTTTGAAATCAGAATTTCAAGCTGTTAAAAATGGCCGAAATATTATTTGTTGGGGTTGCTTAATTGCTGCTTGAGTTGTACAAAATGGTCAGGTAGCATGACTTGTCTTTTCCTTGGTCATTAAACATAGATTGTGTCAGGTAGTTCTCTTGAAAAAGAGACAACTGGTGCAAACATTCCCTATGTTCCCAGAGGCTTCTAGCATTCTTAGCCACCGATTAAAAAAAGTTCATCACTTGTTAGGATCAGTTCCTCTAGGCAGTGATACAGCCTGCCATAAAATCAAGAGTTTCAGACTGATTTCTTGCCCTTAATTAAACTGCAGGTTTATACAACCTACAAGGTCATGGTCTATTTTTGACCTAATATGAAGAAAAAAAAAAAAGAGGAAATATTAGAAAAATGAGTGGTGGAAGGAGTGACATTGATTCTTAAATATGTTTGGATCAATAACACTTTGGAGGAAGTGTATTGGGTCATACTGAAGCATCAGACAGCAGTAGTGTTCTTTGGGGTGCAAGAGTTAGCTCTGTCTTAAAAGGACATCAGCACTTACTGGTGTCAAGTCTAGTTACGCTTGTAATGACAGCACAGTTCTGTAGCAAGTCTCCAGCACAGTAGGTGATTTACCAGTCATGCTACAAGCTAGTTTTTTTGGAATCATGGAACAGCAGGGTAATTAACTTAGATTTGCCTGCTGAAGGGGCCAAAATGCTGCTTTTCTGCCTGTTTAGAAGGGAATAGTGGTGGGTACACAATAACCCTTCCTTTGCTATATGTAATTTTTGCAGGATAGTTTAATGAGGGTTTTTTGTGTTACGCTTTTAGTCTCTGAAGTAGTGTGGAACCTTAAAAACAAAACGTCCTTTTAGATTGGTTTAGTAGACATGGAAAGGAAGCTGCAATACCAAAAATGTTTATTTCAGAATTCTGCATATACAGGTCAGTATTTTGCTGAGTAGTTTGTGCTTGTTCTCTCCAGTCCTGCTTTTATGGATGAGTATGAGAAGATTGAGGAGCAACTGCAGAAACAATACAGTAGTTATCTAGAAAAATTCCATAATCTGACCTACATGGAGCAGCTCCTGGATGAACATCGACGGACAGAGCAGGAGATGTTTGAGGTAAGACAGCTTAGAAATGCTCAGCAAGACTGTATATCCTGTAGTTCTTGGCCTTATAACAGAAAATGATTTAATACCTCTTTGCCAAAGCAGCGCATTACTAGCTGTAGAGCCAGCTCCAAGCAACTGGCAGTTTACTGACAATCCAGTAAGTGTGACTGCTCTTGGACAGGCAGCTTTATTTTTTGAGTTCGTGAAGTTCAACCAGTGTAATGATTGATATCCCTTTCCAGTCTGTGACTCCCCCTGACTCGTTTTCAGTCAATGGTTTTTGTTCATGAAGAATGTTTTCAGCATTTCTAATCATCCTTTTGCTGCATACAATATATGTGCTAAGAATTTTTAGGTGCTCAGTTTTTATCGTCTGCCAACAACTGGTGTATGAGGGTTTCTGAGCACAAGGCTCTTCAATTTCCTCGTAGTAGTCCTCTTCAATGAAAACAGCAAAGAGTATCAGTGAAAAGATCAGATACGCTGGAATCCTCGCTTGCACAGACTTCAGTTTTGTTTAGCAGAAATTCTCTTTTCCATTGACTTGCTGAATTGTATCAGTTCAGTGGATTCTCTGTTTTGTATCCTACTGGATAATCTGCATCTGTATCTCATCTTGCTCCATGCTTCCCTTTGGGTGTTTATTAGACTGCAGCACTTTCAGCCAGCCTTTCATTCAGCTTTCTGTAGCTTCATGTTTTACTTGTTGGCTTTTCATCCTTCTCACAGTCATTACCCGGTGTATCTTCATTCACTGAAACATGTTTTCAGTGAAGAACAGCTCTCCCCTTGGACCTTAATACCGGTGGGTGGACTATCCCTTGAGTTAACCAGTGCTTCCTCTTTCTGATTCATCCTGTCTTTCATATGCAGATCATGTTTTATTTTGTCAACACAACTTACTCTTGTTCCTGGCAGAAATATGGGAGAGCTGTGCATAATGTTCCTTCTCTCTGGCTCTGCGCATTTTGCTTTTGCCATGTCTGTGCCTACTGATTTGAAAAGTAAAGCGATTTCACCCCAAGTTTTTTAGCGTTTTCCTTTAAAGTATTCATACTTGTGTTATAGTAAAAGTTTGTGACCTGTGCTTAGGCTGCAAATAAGGCACAGTAACTTTATAGTCCCTCTTCTCCTTTGATCTGTCTCTATTGCATCTGGGGGATCTTTTTAGAAAGCTGTGTTATTCTGTAGAACTGATTGTGCCAAGAAACCTTGTGCTCTGTTCTGGCATGTCTCAGCCGCGCAGTACAGCGTACAGGGGCTCTGTAACCAGGCTTCAGGCCCTTCTGCGTCTGGAGAAAATATGGTCGTTTCCATCACCTTTTGGACATAGGAGAAGGCATGCTGTATTCTGTCAAAGGCTCAAATATTTTGCTGCATTATTTGCTTGAGGGATAAAACAACCTGTCTTTTAAAAGAGACCATGGGCATTTGACAACTTGTTAATCGTCGTGAACTAATTTCCCATTAACCTCCCTTTTTGTAAGCACTGTCTCCATAGATGTTATTTCACATATTTCTAATCTGTAGTCAGCTTGGGATTTTCGTGTGTCTTGTTTTGTAACGTTCTAGTTCTTCCCCATATCTTTGGCCAAAACCAAGTTCTCCATTAAATCATAAACTTGAAATGAAGCCTAAAATCTAGTTTTTCCCTTCTGTTTGAATGCCATTGAGACTTAATACCAAAAGTAGAAATGTTTTGAACTGAGCTACCTGAAACTGTTTATAAATTCATGCACAGAAGTTAGTAATGAGTTGGCGTACAGCTCTTCAGGGGATTTTTGTTAAAAGATAATAAGACGACGAAAAAGCCTTTGTCATTCAGGGCTGTGCCCGTGCTTAGAATATGGAGAACGCTTTTTATTTCCCTTTTTCTCCTTCTTTCTGTGAGACACCTGGAAATCTACCCATTTGGCTTGGCTTTTCATTTGCTAGGATAAGCAGGTAACAATGCTTCAGTATTGTGCAGAATTAAAGAGTGTAAAAGCTTGTGACAAAAAGATCGTTTTTTTTCTCTGCACACTTCTATCACTTGTTATATGCAGTACACGTTATTAACAGGTGTCAGAACTGGAAACGTCTTTAAGATGTGTTTTATGCTAAAAGCAAAATGCCATCAGGTCTTCTGCATGTGGAATGCGTTTCTTGCCGTGTCTGGTGGTCTGTACTTGGGTGTCTCTAGCTATGACCTCAAGTGATCAAGTTACTTGTGCTGTAGCTCTTAAAAACATTGTTTTTAACATTGTTAGCTTAAACCAACATGAAGTTTACCTGTCAAGTCTAGTTCTATAGCTTGAACTTGACCCTGCCCTAGGATCATTTCATTTCACTTCCTGTATATTAGTCTGTTAAATCTTTTCCCTAGGGAGGGAGTGTTTGGCCAGACCAAAAATAACAAAAATTAAAAAAAGGGGGGGGGGGGGGGAAGGTACATTTGGCAGTTGTTCTTCAGAGCTGGAGAGAGAAGCAAGGGGATCAAGAACAGAAAATTGGAGTATCTAAAAATACTTAGAATATTTAAAGGATGAGACTCCAGCCATCTCTTTGTGGCAGCAATACCGTGACTCAGGTGGCCATGACTGCTTTGTGGCGGAAGCTGTTGCTTTGGTAGAAGAGGAGGCTATCTCTATGATTCTGTGTAACTCTTTTACTGCCAGATTTTCAGGAGTGCTGGAGTCCAAACTATTATTTGAAGTCATTATGAGATGTCAGTGCTCAAAGTCAGGCTCCAGGACTTGGTAACTGAAAGAAGATGAAGAATCTGGGTCTCAACTAAACCAAGAGACTTGCTGGTGCACTCCTATTTCCAAATCAGTGAAGGGATTTTTTTTTTTTTTTTTTTATTTCAAAAAGATGGTGCACTGCGCAATCCTTTTCAGTTTAGTTTCTTGCCACCCTGGAACACCAGGGCATTTCTCTCACTTCTTCTGGCAGTCTTGATCTGCTTTTCAGGTGGTGCTTCATCACCTTTGGCTGCTTGTTGGTGAAGCAAAACTGTGGGTTATTCCTTACATGCTTGAAAAAAAGCAATTTGCTCCAAAATGATGCTGCATCTTGTCCTAATGTTTATCATCTCTTGTCATTTTCAGAATCAACAGAGGGAAAAAGTAACTAGGATAATTACATTTAATCCATTTTAATACACGCTGTCTCCAGCTGTCAAAAAACACTGAAAATTATGTTGATTTTTTTTTTTCAACCCTGATTTGTCTTTTGTTCTACCAAACAAATCTTAATTATCTTCCGTATTAGAAGTGAGAGTCAATTCTTTTTATCATCGCTGTGTATTTTGTTAAATAGCTTGCCAGGAAAAAGCGACAGCAATGTAATTAGATTAATCCAGCACTCTGCGTGCTGTTCAGTACTGAGAACTGATTCCCGGACCCCTTTCCTTGACTAGGTGCATGTTTTTAGGAGGAATTTTTGTTCTGATTGAGAGACCGTTGCTAAATAACAAGACTAATCTCTAGTGCACTTAAATTCAAAGCTGTTTTGGTACCCTGCTGATGTTGCGCAGCTAGTGACCTGGGCCAGAGTGCATTTCCTAATTAGAAAAGTGATTTAAAGATTGTACCCAAGCACACAGTTTTAATTAAGTGACATTGAGCAGTTGAAGCGCTCCAGCCTTTCCAGACTGCAGTGCTGGTTGTGTGCGTGGATTTTTTTTGTGCTTCGGTGTGGTAGGTGTACAGTTACATGGAGAGGAGCGCTCTGTAGCTCCTGTTGTTGTCTTGAGCTTCCTGTTCCTTTTGCCTCCCGGTGTCCGTAATAATACGGAGCCGTGGTTGGAGAGCAATCGGCATGAGTCTCCTGCCAGGTACTGGCCTGAGAAGTCTTTCTCTGTGTTAAAAGGAATTTAAAGGCTTGCTGTTGAGTCTGAAGCAAATGAATTGCCAGAACCAAACACTTAATTGATGATGAAATTACCACTTGCGGAGCACCTGCCCGTTTGATGTGGAAACCCTTTGAAATGTATGAAAAATATGGAATTATTTGTCTGTTATCAACTCTCATCTGTGGAGATGTCAGAAGTCCTCACATGACTCCTCCTTTGAGTGAGTTGCTCACACCTATTGACAAATTGTCATGCACTACTTATTATTGGATCCAAGGAATTTAAATAAGGGTCTTTTGTCTTTGCAGTTTCCTTAGCCTTTTTTCATTTTCAGCCGCCTCTTTTATTCTGTTTCTGTTCTCTTGTGCTGCTCATGGAATTAATCCATCTTCTTGCATTTCTGTGCAGAAGCAGAGACTTATGTGCCATGTCTCCTCAAAGATTTGTTCTTATTTTTCTACTTTGTAAAAAGATTCAGCACACTTCATTAATTTGTACCCTGTTTTAAAGATGAAATTGTTTCTGATGTTTAGACATGAAAGCTATTAGAACTTTGGCTGCTCTAAAAAATCAAAGTTTCAGGGTTTTTCAGATCTGGGGGTTGAAATTTTCTGTGGACTTACAAATGAATGCTTCCCTTTTAAAGGACAGCACAGTCGAATACAGTTCAAAAAAGTGTTTTTGAAACTAGCTTGTGTAATGCCAGAATAACTTGAAAATATCCTTTAGCATTTGCCTTTTCTCTAGACGGATTATGCTTATTCTTTCTGGTGCCTCTGAGAGGACATCCCTGAAGTACTTCCTTCAGCTACTTTCTTCTAAGTTATTTTAACGTTGCTTTTATGCTAGTGCTGTGAAATCTCAACTAAGGAACACCACGAAGTGGTGGACACACTGAAGAGGATGTTCTAAGCCACCCGGTCATCATCTTTTGGTTTGGGATTGCTTAAACCATTTTTCTTTTCATCATTATGATATTACTACCAGTAAGCAGTCCGTCACGATTAAGCAAGGAAAAGCCAAATAAACAGACTGTGCAAAGAAAAGTCAAATAAACAGACTGTACTGTGACTTTCCGTCTGCCACCCACCCTCCCCAAATAAAATCCCCTCTTCGTTAAACTAATGTGTTGGGGTTTTTTATCAGAGCTCCATACCTGAAGCCGATGCTTTAT